CTGTGAGCAGAATCAAATATTCACCAGCAGCCAGAGTTTTTGACGAGTCCCCAGTGTGACTTGGAAGCCAAAAATCCCATTTTTGAAAGGTAACCAGAGAATTGAGAGAAACGTGTTTCACAGGAAGTCAATTAAACTGACACTCCGGAGTGCTTTTAACTTTTAAAGTGTAATTTAGATACTTCAAAACAGTATTCTGGAGCTAAATCCTCTGAGGCACCATGCACATGTGCCTCTCGGAATGGTCAGAGGGAACTGGGGCTGCAAACTGCTGTGTGCTGTTACAGTGCTGCAGGCCCTCATCATTAAGGAGCAGTGTGATGCAACAGGGACAGCATCGGCCATTGCCACCTCAACGTAGGGACCTTCTGTGCCACAGCCACATGTGAGCATATCTGTTCATCCAATTTGGGTGTGATTCTGGTTGAAGAGTTGACACAGAATGGCACGGCTTGGAAGGGACTACCGCCTTTTTATTTCGTAGCATATTCACCTTGATGGAAGGAAAATCTCTTTGCTGACTGTACATAAAGAACCTTGCCCAGGAAATGTTTTCCTTTGGCTGGCAGCAAGGCACTCTCTGGGAGCACAAAGTCCCAGCCCTGTGTCCAGGCACTGGGAGCCCCAGCACACACCTGAGTCCCATCTTGAGTTTCCTGGTAGGTCTCAGGTTACTGATGTAATTAGGTTAGAGTGGCTTGTACAGTATGTCTGATTTCAAAGTAAAATCAGAGCACAGTGCATAATATTATGCAAATGTCATAGCAACAGTAAGGCAGACTTCTAAGAAATGCTAATGAGTTAAGCTGTTCTGCAAAACCCTAACCTGGCCAAGCAAAAACAAACACAGCACTTAAAATTCATACAAGAAAATCACACGTTCCTCTAGAAGAAAATAAAAAACAACAACAACAACAAAAACTCCACTAAAAACACAGCATAGGATGTCTTATCAAACCACTGCAGCAGGAAAGAGAGGAGCAGGAAGGGAGCAGTGCAGAATTACACACAGCCACCTGCAGCAGCGCTTGGTGCCTGCTGAGCTTCCAGCCCTGTGCTGCTCGCTCCACTCAGGGCTGGGCAGCAGCCACCAGACGTGGGTGCCACCAAGGCCTGGACGATGCCAATGCGAAAACTACAGCATTCCTGAACCACAGGCAGGTGCCAGGGAATTATAAACCAGACCATTTGTCCTCACTCCCCATAATGATGCCATTCAGGTAATCAAAGGTGAAAGCACCTGGAAGATGCCACGACACAATGTGATTGCCAGCAGGTTTGTCAGCAGGGTGTGCTGGGCCATCAGCTCTGGCTGCAGTAGGGCCAGGCTCAGTGCTTTGGGGCAACCCATGGGCTGAGCACAGCAAACAGGTTGGCATTAGCAGCATGTGCTGCCTGTGTGCTGCTTAATGTCCACACCCCCCCCAAAGCTGGGGATGCTTTGCAGGGTGACCAGGCAGTGTCCCATGGTGACACCGAAACAAGGGCAAAGTGTGGCTGGGTACAGGTCATCTACTCATGCCTGTTTTCTTTCCTCCTTATTATTTCCTGATCAAATGGATCTTTGTGCAAGGATATGGTTTTGCAAGCAGGCAGTGGTCCATTCTGTACTGGGAGCAGTTTGGGTTACCTCCCTGTTGCCCTGTCAGCTGCCCACTGAATTTGCAGAGCAGTTTCCTCCTCTGTTGCAGCCGCATATCCTCAGCACCACGACTGCAATTTTCACCTCCCCAGCAAGCCCCAGCACACCTGGCCTTCAATCTGCCACGTGATGGGGTTCATCAAGGCTGAAATTAAATCACTGCCTCTTAATTTGAGATGAATGGCTTCTCTTTCCTCTCCAAAAGCAGCTGAACTTAATTCGGTACAGTCCACAAGATCCAGCTATAACAGAGCTGTTTGAGACTGGTTATGTGGCATCTGAAAAGAAGGAACGCTGCAATACAGCCCACGTTGACTATTTGTTTGGGTAATTGAAAATTTTATCTAAATTAAGACAAACGCCGGCTTCGTGATGCACACACCTCATTCTTCATCATCTCAGCATGGCTGCAGTGCTTCTGGAGATGGTTGCATTTAATCTTTCTAAGTGTGTCACCATAAACCAGAGCGTGAGTGGGGCTGCAGGGACTGGTGTGGGGCACGGGGCTGCTCACAGCTGCTGCTGAGCTCCTGTTAAGCAGGCAGTGGTTTGTTCACAGGGGCTCCGAATTCAGCATCTGTGCATCAGCATTTGCTTTATAAATTGCAGTAGAAAATGCTAGTAAGTTTTGCTTTGAAGTGAAATCATATTCTATTTTATTGATTTCAACATGATTGGGAATAGTTGTCCTCTCTCAGGAACCATCCCCCTCCCACCACCTAATGTTGAGACCCCACCAATGATTCTCCTCCTCAGAATGCAAACACAAACAAACACCACAGCCTCTCGGACCACCTCTTTAAAAAGGGAAACCATGCGGACACACATAAGTTACATACAAAATGTGGATTATATGACATGAAATGGCACAAAGGACAAACCCAAAGTCCCAAAGCAGAGTCACTATGAGCTGCAGAGCGTATGCAGCATGGTGGCCAGCAAAGTGCTTATGTCTACCTGGGGATGAAGGGCTGCACAGCCACCAAACTTGAAGTTTAGAAGTAAGTTAGGCCTGGCCATTTCCTTTGCTGAGACGACTGAACAGCTGCCATATTGAATGAATACCATACTCAGAATTATGCTTATGTTCACTGGAACTGCTCAGGGTTTGTTGATGTGCTGCTGGGGAGACAGGGGTGATGGTGAGTGGCAGAGGAGAGCACAGCTCACAGCAATGAGGTGCAGCTCGGGGCTCCGGCACCAGATGTGCCCTGCAGGGGCTGCAGAGCTGAGTGTGAGGACAGCACACTCAGCACACTGAAGTGCATGTGCAGTTTGCTGACTGTGACAAATCTTTCACATATACAAACAGTTTTAAGCTGCAGACAGATCCTAGTTTTGCATCGCTTCTGATTTTTTCTTCTTTACTTGCAAGAGACTAAGAAAAACTACTCTGCATGTCCCAGTGCAGACCTAGCAGTTTGAATCTGGCACAGAAACCCAGCGCCAGGTGCACCCACGCTACAGCCAAGGACACTTCCTGATAACTTCCCCCTGCCATGACTGGAAGTGCCCTGCTGTCAGACCCGAGCTGCCCTGCTTGTGGCTGGCACTGACGATCACACGCCTCCGTCATCACAGCCCCCCTGGCTTGGTGATGAGGAAGGTCAAATCCCAACCCTTGCAGTTCAGCTGCCTGACAGCCAATGCTTCTGGCCATGGGGCACGGGGAGGTCCCACTGTCCCCCGTGCTGTCAGCAGTGCCACAAGGCTGATCTTTCCCATACACAGTGACAAACCATAACTGCCCCTAGAAACAGGGGAACTGATCCCAGAAGCAATTGCAGTTTGACAGGGCACAAGTATGCTACACAAACTGCTCAATTAATGTAGAGCTCTGGCTTTGGCCAGAGCATGAACATGATGATTTATCCAAACACACATGAACATGATGATTTATCTAAATAAGGATTTGTGCAAGTTTTTATCTTGGCTCGGAAGATGAGGGAGAATGGCTGATTTCATGATTTTTTAACACTCCTCTTTTCTTTTTTCAAATGAAATATGCTAAGCAGGGCTGTCGTCTTCTCCCTTTTTAGGATCACCCTTCTTAAGGCTCCCATGACTTAAAAGTCTTCAGAGGCAGTTTTTGTTTTGATAAAACAAGCAGAGCTCGCTGCCCCTTCTGGACTCTACCACCAGGCATCACTTAAACCACACAGCACATTCTGGGGTGTGAAGGGCATCACTCCCCAACACCCCCTCACATTTATAGAATCACAGAACCATTGAGGTTGGAAAAGCCCTCCAAGAACCCCAATCCAAACCCTGCCCAGCTCCCCGTGCTCACTGCCCACCCTCAGTGCCACATCCCAATGGTTCTGGAACACCCCCAGGGAGTTGACCCCCCCCACCCCTGGGCAGCTGTGCCAGAGCCTGACCAAAATGCTCCATCCATGCACATATCTCTGCACAACGCCTCTTCCTGACAGTCTTCCAGTAACAACAACCTGCACACAGCCCAGCGGTCACTTGTTCCACCAGCACTGTGGTTTTCAGCCCACAGGTTTTACAGAGAACTGTGATGGACTCAGCCTGTGGGTTGTGGGGGGGGACGACAAATCCAGGGCCTCCAGCATTTGTAAATCAGTAACGATGCCACAGTGATTTTCAGAGTAGGAACTGCTGCAAATCACAAGCTGCGTAATTGCACTTAACCTAAGAAAATTCACAGCCAGAGTGGATTAGTGTAATTATTCCCATTTTCTTTCCCTTTTTTAAACATTTTTTGGAAGGGAAAAGAACACCATTTTGAACATTTCGTGTTGTACTGAATGTCAAATCAAATCCGACCCCAAACCAGAAAGCATCTCACTTCTGCTGACACCCGAGGAGGGCAGAACTGTGGGCTGCAGCCCCACCAGAGGCCATACTGGCACCCACAGCAGTGCCCACAGCACTGGAGGAGAGGCAGAGCACAGCTCCTGTGCCAACAGTGCCTGCACTCGCTGCCTGTGCTGGGATCCACTCTCACACCCACACAGAGTGCCATATCACTTCTCATCTCCCTGTCCCGTTGCACAACCACAAGTTAAACCAGAAACGTTTCAGACCAGCAATCACAGACATTACTCAGTGAATAACCACCAAGCCCAGAGCCTGCAGCAGAGCCCAGCCCAGGCCACATGCTGGCCCAACACTGCTGCCAGCACAGCAGTCAGGTTTGAACCTGGTCCTCTCCTACCGACCTCTGCTCAGAACCACTCAACCTCAGACACCGCAGGCTTTTCGCTACTGTTGCACCAAAAAACAGATCTACATTTTCATCACGAGCAGCAGTTCACTGTGTTACATTTTTCTTCCCAGCAGAGCCCCTCTCCTCCATTGGATTTAGTGATTAGAAACCAACGTGACTTACAGTTTACTGTGACTTTTACTTTTTTCACGTCTGGGACTGAGACGTCGTTTTCTGCGCTGCATTCATACTCCCCAGCCTGATCTCTTGTAATTCCATAGATGTCCAGGTACTGCCCGCTCTCAAATGGTTTTGCTGAAATAAAATGATCAGAGAAAGCAATTAGGTGAGGATGAGCACAGAGCACCCGAAGGGTCACTGAGGTCTGCAGGGCTGAATGGGAGAGCTGCTGGGCACTGCAGAGCCCCCACCCCTGGGATGGGCTGCACAGAATATGGGAGCAGTGCTGAGCAGAGCTGCTGGGACCTTACCTAAAGACAGAACCACAGAATCATTCCAGTTGGAAAAGATCCCAATCCACCCCCAGCCCACTCCCCATGCCCACTGCCCACATCACTCAGTGGCACACACATCCCCATGGCTCCGAACAGCCCCAGGGTTGCTGACCCCCACCCCTGGGCTGCTGTGCAGTGCACCCTGGCACCCTGCCTCAGTTTAAAACCATTCCCCCTTGTCCTGTCTCTATCCACCCTTGTAAACAGCCGTTCCCCCTCCTGTCTATACGTTCCTTTCAAGTACTGGAAGGCCACAATGAGTTTTACTTGGAGCCTTCTCTTCTCCAAGCTAAAACTAGACATGCTGAAATGGGTAATGATATGTAATTATCTGCTGGGGATATGTTGGGCTATAGGAGAGGGTTCTCCAGCATGGGAGGGAAGCAGCTGTGAAGCTGAGCTGGAATGCCCAGGTCCAGCCGCTGCATGGTGTCACAGTGCCCAACAAAGCAGCACACGTGTAGCTCCTGGGAGAGAGCACAACAAGAATCGTGTTTCCCATATGGTCCCTGGCGTCAGGAGGAGCGTGAGCACACCTCGCCATATGGACAGCTTTTCCAAGGCGTGGATGGATGGGTTTTACAAAGGTTGCATCTTCCTCTCCTGTCGCTAAACATAAGTCAGTAAGAGGAAAGATCTGGTGCAAGTCCAGGGGGGCTCTGAAAAACTCTGAGGACTTAATTTGAGCCAAGGCTGTTTTGCTGTCTGTTTGCTTGTTTTCTACATTTCCTGGGATATTTAACCACAATGCAGCCCCAGGTCAGGCACCCCAGGTCCCACTGGGCAGTGGGACCAGCCCAGCTCCGTGGTGCTCCAATTGAGCCGGTGTCAGCACAAGGAGCCCAGCATGGTCTGGGACTACAAGCAGGAGGCTGAGCTGTACAGGTGTGCTGTATCGTGGCTGCAGATCACAGCCTGGGGAGCATCCCCATGCAGCCTGAAAGCCCCAGCATGGGCTCACCCGCATGTATGCTGCCTCATATGGATTCTGTGTGAGCAACCACTTAACTGAGATGGGAGGTTTAGGTTGGATAGTAGGAGGAATCCTAATTTCACTCAGAGGGTGGTGAGGCATTGGAACAGGTTGCCCAAGGAGGCTGTGGATGCCCCATCCCTGCAGGCATTCAAGGCCAGGCTGGATGTGGCTCTGGGCAGCCTGGGCTGTTGGTTGGTGACCTGCACACAGCAGGGGTTGGAACTGATGAGCGTTGTGCTCCTGTGCAACCCAGGCCATGCTGTGATTCCATGATTCTATGATTCTATGATTCTATGATTGATTCTATGAGCAGGTCAGCTCCCCAGTGGCAATGTCATCAGGATGCCATCTGAATGCTGGCTGTGCTGTAAGCACCCACGGCCCATCAGGTCTTATAAGCTGGGATCACAGAGGCACCTTTCTTCTTTCCTGCAGAGGAGTTGTCACAGGATGCTGAGAACAGCCTAAGCAATTGGATTCAACCAGGACAATAATCTGAAGCTGCTCCTCCTACTTGCCATGCATTCAGGGTTTCAAACGACATCAGATGCTGTAATTGTACAGGATGTGCTCCTCTCCTAGGGGCTGTGGGTTAGCAGAACAGCTTGCTGTCTGTTAGGAGAATGTGCCTACCACATTAGGCACCATTTAAACATTGTCAGCGTAAGGCCATTTAGCTTTAGCGATGCCACACTCCACATTTGTAAAGAAAAATCAGATAAAATGTAAAGAAAAAATGTCTGAAAGTGGCAGATAAATTGAGGGCTGAAGGAGATCTCCCTGCTGAAGAGATGAAACAAGAAAAGCAGTTTGGTGAGGAAGGCGTGCTGATAAAAGAAAGGCTGCGAACAGAGGCTGACAAAGCAGAAAGTTTCAGAGGTGGAGACAAACAAGGTCAGATCTGTACCTGTGATATATAGGTACGGAGCACTGGGAGCTGCATGGGCAGTGCACATCTCAGCCAGCTACTGGGAGCTGCTGCATGTCACATGGATGGGTCCCCACCAAACTGTGTGACAGTGCAATCATTTTTTTTCCTTAGTTTTGTCACTACATAGTAACTGCAGAGGGGAAATAACATAGAATCATAGAATCATAGAATAGCTTGGGTTGCAAAGGCCCACAGTGCTCATCTGGTTCCAACTCCTGCTGTGTGCAGGTCGCCAACCAGCTGCCCAGAGCCACATCCAGCCTGGCCTTGAATGCCTCCAGCAATGGGGCATCCACAACTTCCTTGGGCAACTTAGAAACCACATGTAGATCTTTCATTTTCCACTGCTTCCTCTGAGCTTCCCAGGCTGAGCAGAGCAGAGGCTGCTCCTGCAGGAGGTGGAGGCACATCTCCTTGTTTGCATTCCCTGAAGTTACATTTGTTTCTGTCTGCACAGAATGCTCCCACACTGCGCTACCTATCTGAGACACATTACGTTATTAAGTTACAGTATTTGGAGCAATTTTGAATGTTTTCTGTTGCAGACACACCAGGGAGCACACCCAGAATACATTCTGACTTTCCTGCTTGAGCAACTGAGGACTGGTGTTCAGGAGAGCCAGCTCCACGCTGATGCTCACAGAGAAGAAAATCAACTGCTATAAGAGCAGAACACACACCCACTGCAGATAGTAGTGTTCTTAGGGATCTGCACGCTGTGTCACCTGGATATTTACAGATTCATGTGTATCCTTTGATCTCTTTTGATCTCTCCAAGAATGACTACTTCAGCACAGTAAGTGCAGCTTGCCAGCAGCGCCAGCTTTCCCGTTGGCCCAAGGTCCCACACACAGCCGGAGAGAAGGCAACATGCTGTACCATGTGAAGCTCCTCTGGGCAGGAGGGTGTTGGAAGAGATCCTCTTACCCAGGGAGCTGTATGTGAGCATGAGCAGGGCTGGGGAGGGCAGCTCAGCCCACAGCAACACGCAGTGCCCCTGCAGGAGCCCTCCTGCTCTCAGAATGATGCTCTGCAGGCAGCAGGTGCCCTGTGAGCTGTTTGGAGAGAACTCTTCGACTCAAGCACATCTGCAGGTCCCTCCCTTTGCACATTCGTTTTCTGTCTGTAGTTTGTTGAAACTGGAGACGCTGCTGAAGATAAATGAATCATTGATGACTGTATTTTTCATTTCATGTTTCTTCTTATCCCTCAAAAGATATTAACGGCTTTTATAAAGCATGTGGCTTTTAAAATAATTCTTGATATGTTTGAAATAGGATTTATTCATAAACATGGCCAAAAGAGATGATTCTGGGAAATAAAGGGAAGCACTGCAGGCTCCAGAAATGTGAAGGCCTGGTTTAGGGACAGGCTTTAATGGGTATGGAGGTGAGGGGTCGATGGTTAGATGTGGTGACGTCTTTTCCAGTCTTAATGATTAGGTTGGATATGAGGAGGAAGTTTTTCAGCCAGAGGGTGGTGAGGCACTGGCACAGGCTGCCCAAAGAGGCTGCGGATGCCCCATCCCTGCAGGCATTCAAGGCCAGGCTGGATGTGGCTCTGGGCAGCCTGGGCTGCTGGTTGGCGACCTGCACACAGCAGGGGGTTGGAACTGATGAGCGTTGTGCTCCTTTGCAACCCAGGCCATGCTGTGATTCTGTGGATCTGTGGTGCCTGCGGGTCACCTGCTATTCCCTCCTGAGCATCACTGGTGTGCCCAGCCTCCATTTCTATCTGCAGCCTGTGCCCAGCTGGGGGGAGGGAGAAAGAGTAACAATAAGCATAAAGGAATGTTAAAAATAAAAGAGAAATTGAAATGTTAAATGGAAAACAGAGGCATCTTCTGGATTTTGGAAATACCTTCTCCAAAAATCTGTGCACGCCCCAGCACTGGCATGCTCTGCTCCAAGATGAGCATCTCCACAGCAGTAATGAAAGATGCTACACCAAAGGAAGGGGAGAGAAGGAAATCTGCACTTGCTTGGCTTGGTTTTCAGCGCTAGAGGCTTGGTCTCACTGAAATATCTTTAATGATTCATAAATCGCTCACTCACAAATGCAGTGTTTCTCAAATAAAAATGAACTAATATCTGAGGGAATAAACTAAGCCTGTTTTAAAACTTTAATTTTCATGGCATTTTATGAGTTATTAATGAGTTCATCTGCTTTTATTGAAAAGTGAGAAATACATTCCTCTCGTTATAAAATTGTCAAAAATTCATTATTATTTCTGCACGACGCTTTTGTCTGCTTTTCGTTTTCCCATCTCTAACTCACTGAGATTGGAATCTTACTCTCAATCCTCAGTTCCTTCACAAAGACCCAATTATTGGACCATCACAGCGCAAGCACTCATCTCCTGACAACCGCAATCTAACAAGAGGGTTTTTATAGTCTGTTTAAAGATTTTAAGAAGGCTTGAGGATTTCTAGGAACATCTTTAATTGTTCCTGAAGGGATGCTCAAAGTTCAGGACCGCTCTCGATAATTATGACATTTTTCTAAGAATTCTTGCTCAGAAGCCCACTAATCGCAGCCAGTGTAATGTCACTTGGCCTGGCGCGACAGATCGTGTACTGGATGTCACTTAATTGGATCCTAATGCTCCGCGTATCCCCCAGCAATGATGTTAGGAGCATCATTAAGGAAAAGAAAGGCCAGAAGGCCCATGGCCTGAAATCGGAAGACATGGTATTTCGCATGGGAGAGGTGTGGCTTTGGAGGATCATTATTTTCCCGGTATCCAAAGGCAAAGGAAAGAATTGCAACAAACCATTTATATTAAGCGCTAATATTTGCACTGCTGTCTTTAAACTGCTAATTAATCCCCTCATTTACTCCGCGTTGAGCTCCACACCATTTCCTCTCGAGTCCTTGGGATGCTGCCAGGAGC